ACTGCGTTATGCTGCATCATGTTTGTGTGTTGGTTCTATCAAATTAGCTGCCCAAAGTTGGAAAATTACTCTCTACATGATATTTATTTATGAAATGCTTTTAATTTGCTTTGCAGCTTTTGGTTCTGAAAAAACTATGTGGCATTTGAGCTTTATTTAAATTTTATGAGAAAAAAAAAAGTATTATTTTCAATTATTTTTCATAAACAATTTTACAGCTTATATTTTACGGGCTTTATTACACACAAAGAATGAAAATCAAATTAAATAGCTCTGTAACTAAAACTAACATACATCAAAATACTCGAAAAACAAGCAAATTTTATTTCGAAATCAGAAAATGGGAAAATTTAATTCCCGAATCGTACAATGTTGGCCATTGTAAAAAAAAACCTAATTAATTGTTATCAATAACGTTGAACAAACAGCACATGATACATTTAATTAGCTTAATTATTGAAATATCGAAGGAAGAATGCGGAATAAATGTCTGAAATGAAGCGATGCACGCAGAATTTAAAACGCAACCTGCAGCGATTTAAAAATGCAGTTCGCATGAATGATGGGGAGCCGCGAGGCGATGGGTATGCCCGGGGGTGGTAGCGGGTGGCGGCTGCTATTGAGCTGAAATGACAGCCGCCATTGCAAATTGAAAGCAGCAGGCAAGTGAGCCTTGTTTAGACTGAGCGCCATGGCAATTGCACACGAGCTACGCCAGCTGGGAATAAAAACAGTTACTGCGGGGCACAGCCGAGCAGAGGGTGCAAGGTGTGTGTATGTGTGTGTGTGTGTGTGTTTGTGTAAGGCAGGACACGTGGGGAAAAGCGGTCGGCGGGGCTGCTCGTAGGAGTCGTAATTAGAGCGTAAAAACCAGAGCGAACGAAAAACCAAATGCGCTCGGGCAGCTACTACTATTTTTTTTTCTCTACGCCTGCATTGTGTGTAGGTATGTGTGTGTGTGCGAGTGTGTGCAAGTGCTTTATGCGCAAAGAAAAATAGATAGCTAGCGAAAAACTAGAAAAGCTAAAGCAAACGAAGCGAAGTGCTGTCCCCCACTGACACATATTTGATTATTTCCGAAAGGTGACAGCTATAAAAAGGCCAGACAAACAGCCGTACGTAGGTGGACTCCGCCCACCACACACCCTCACACAAACACACACACTCACGCTCACACATACACACACTCATATATTAAGCAGAAGGCAAGACAAAAGCCGTAGACAACACTGTTGCTCTTTTCAGCCACGCCTTCACGACCATTAAATTGTGATAGGCAGCCCGGCTGCGTTGGCACCTTTTTTAATTTCATTCAGCGCAACAGCATATTCGCCTCCTGCCCATTTAATTTTTTTTTATGACCTGCGGGCTTTGTTTATCCGATGGCACTTTAATATTTTTTTTAATATTCATTTCTTTTCTTTGCACACAAAATTAATTAACAACAAATGCGAATGCAAGTCCAAATGCAAATGCAACTGCAGTTTTGTGGCCACTCCGGCAGCTCATTTAATTAATATTCATCCGCCAACTTTGGCAGCCAGCAGAATGGGGCACCCTAATTCGAGGCGCAGTGGGCATTTCGCAAGGGGGCGTGGCACTTGAAAACTAAACGAACTGACTGTCAAGTGACTCTTGCCAGCGACCAGAGCGTAGTAGACCAAATAAAACAAAGACAAAAAAAACGAAACGAACAAAAAATAAAGGAAATCAACATCAAGTTGAAAACTTATGAGTGGGATAGTAGACAGGAAAAATGCAGCGTTCAAGGAAGTAATTATGGTTTATCCAAAGGGACAGATAGAGGCGAGGCCAGGCAAGACAACATCAACAACAGCAAGAACTAGAATAATGATAGGAACAGCAGCAGCAAGAAATTGTGAAAGGAAAACGAGAAGACGATTCATAACATCAAAACTTCCAACTTTACGTGTAAATGTAAATTAGAAAAGGGGCAAGACGCAAGGGAAATGCGACAGAGACGAATGAATGAATGAGTCAACCCAGACTGGACACAGAACACGGCTGAATAAGTTCAACTCCGTAGATGGGCCGACAAAATAATTTTCTTTGGGAATTTCGGCAACAAACAACAATAATAACTCGATGTTGGTTCGGTTCGTGGTTGGTTAAAGTAAAGTAAACGGAGTGAAAATATGAGAAGAAGGATTCAAAGCAGTCGACTTTAAGACACGCTAGGTCAAGCTCTAAAAAAAATGTACATAGATGCAACATGGATGAAAATCCTAATCGGCAAGAGAGTTGTCTACGTGACCAGGTAAATCAAGGAACTGATCAACGAGGATTGGCGTTCAAATCCCAAGATATAAAATTATCTAAGCCAAGGGCCAGTCTTGTTTAACAAGTCATACTGTTAATAATAATTGTAAAGAACCAAGTCGATCCTCGACTGCAAGCCATTTCTTTAGCCAAAGCCGAGATTTGGCCCTAAAGCATAAATAGCTTACATCCCAAACATTGCATCCAACCAAATTCGTTTGCTGCCAATTTTGAGTTGAACTCAAATTTAGCCCAGATTTTGTATATGAAAATATATAAGTATTACAATATTTTCAGCAGAATGGGCAGTTGTATGTAAAAAATTGAATTTTTTCATTTAAAACCTGCGCTTCACAACCTGCCGTATTCCACGCTGATGAAATGCGGGCTATAAGTGGATTTTAAGTAGTAGTAAAAAAACCTACTGCTGGCCAGACCAACAATCGGTCGCAAAATTTTTTATGCCGGCTGCACTGCAAATGACATAATGCAAAAATAAATAAACGAATATAAAATAAAGAATAAATAAATAAATAAAAAAGAAGATATGCAGGATGACACTGCGGAGCAAGCTGGAGGTCTGCTCCCTGGCCCAGAGCACTGGCAACTGGCTCACTCAGCATCTCTTGCTGCCACTTTGGCTGAGTTTATCCAGCCATTTATTGTGTGGCAAGTGCAGTTCCTTGTACTGCTTCGGCGCCCCCCACCAAACAACTCGAGTTCTAGTTGGCTTGTGTATTTGTGTTTTGCTTTCATTTTGGCCGCTCAATTTTGCCACGAGTTGAGTTGCAAGAGAAGCTGCCACACGGCTACCGCTGCGGCCATAAAGTTGTGCAAATAAATTGCAATGCAGTCGGAGGCAGGAGGCAAGAAGCAAATGTTGTTGCTGCAAAGCCGCGACGCGAAATTGATGGGGAATTGATTTGAAAGCAAATACATAAATGGAGCAGAGCCACCAAGAAGCCACCAAAAACAGGGCAGCGCATAAATCTTTGGGGAGCACCACACTGAGAAATTGGCTAGATATTGTGCTTGTGCCAGAAATTGAGAAATTGGGCAGGCAAAATGTGGTGGATGGAAAATTGGGTGCTGCGTGTTGCGTGTTTTGCTGGGGAAAAGCCAAAGCAAAAGACGAAATGCGTTTGTTGTGTCTTTGCCAGAAAGTTGGGGAGCTGAGTTGAGAAATCATCGCGAATTGATGTATTCGTACAATTTGGCTTTGTTTTTGATTACTTTAACGACTGATTAGGTGCTGAAATATACAGAAACATGTTCTGAATATCAATGAGATAGAACAAGAAACTTTGCGGCAGCTCAAATTGAATGTACATGAGTAGCTTGAAGATAATTTTATTGATTGATTTAATGGTTTTACTTGGATTTATTTTGTTGTTCATTTTGGATTGTTAGGGATTTGGGCAGCCAGGTGCTGTGGCTATAACTTCAGAGTTGCTTTAAAAAATGGATTCTTTATAATACGGAGTATACTCCGGCCTTGCCCTTGGTACGTATAAAATAAAAAAACAAAGAGCTAAACCTTCGCCGAGTTATGGGGGTGGTAAATGTTGACCTATGTCTATGTAGGAAAATATCCCTCAAATGAGGGTACCATTTTCACATGAAATTTGACCAACAATTAAGTTGTCAGATTTAGACGACAAATTGATCTGGAGGCCAACCCATTAACAAAGAGTCAAACTTAATAAAAATCGGTTGAGTTTTGATCGAGATATATGCGTGGGAAATTGTGAACTATGTCTATATAGGATATTTGAGGTTACCATTTTCACATGAATTTTGACCAACAAAAAAGTTTCCAGATTTAGATGCCAAATTGATCTAGAGGCCAAACCATAAACAAAGAACCGTGGAAATCGGATGACTTTTGACCGAGTTAGGGGGCTGGAATATTTTGACCAATGTCTATATAGGATATCTTAGGGTACCACTTTCACATGAATTTTGACCAAAAAAGAATGTTGTCAGACTTAGATGCCAAATTGATCTAGAGACCAAACCATGAACAAAGATCCAAATCTAGTGGAAATCGGATGAGATTTGACCGAGTTATGGGACTGGGATATTTTGACCAATGTCTATATAGGATATCTGAGGGTACCATTTTCACATGAATTTTGAGCAGGAATAATGTTGCCAGACTTAGATGCCAAATTGATCTATTAAAGTATTTCATTTAATGATGTTATAAAACTTATCGATATCGATATCGAGTGGAGTATTGCTTTTATCGACAGGGCTATCGATAATTTAAGAACTTTTCGATGTTCTACTGTTTAATGTTGCCTTGGCTCTATTAGCAGCTCACACACAAATATTCGGCCATCTAATATGCAAACCAGTTGGGTTCATAAATCATGGAATTTGCATGTCTTTAGATATTCTTTTTTGCTTATTTTTATTTCTTTTTCTCTTTTTTTTGCATATCATTTTCATAATAATGCCGTTGCTTTTGGTGGGTGTACACTCGACAAACAACTTTTATGCTCAATACACAATTTCAATTCTCATCACTTGAATTTGCGCTGAAGGAGCTCAACAATTTCCTTCAAGTCGAAAATGCACGGCAATAATTCAACTCAATATCCTTGTGCACACACACACACACACACACATGCTGAGGCATGCTCTTTCATACATGCTCGCACACATAAGCTAGCTAGTGTGGTAGAATTTTAAGTAAAATGTTGGCATTCACTTACCGATTCAATGGCCTTCTCCAGGCGAAAGATCTCCTCCTGCAGCAGATGCAGCGTGCCCGTTTTGCCGCGATGACGTGCAAATGCAGCGGCACAGGCGCTGTGTATGCTATTTACCCAATTCTCCAGCTCCACCTGTGTGTGAAAAGAATGAGAGAGCAGGTAAGGGAAAGTGTTGATAAGAGCGAGAGAGAGAAAGGTGATTTTTCGTTGCAACAATTTGTAGAGCCAAATGCACCACAAGCAATTTGACATGGCTCCCCAGTGCCAAATGTCGACAACGGCGTTGTTGTTGTTGTTGTTGTTGTTGTTGCTATTGTCGTTGTTGTGGCTGTTGTCGTTGTCATTGCTGGCTGACTATCAGTTATGCAAATTTAATGACAAATCACAGAGGCGACCAGGCAAAACGCTGAAATGCTGTCAGCCAGCGATTCAGTCAGTTAGTATGTTGGGTTCTGCGGGAGGGACAGATGGTAGGTGGCAGGTGTGAATGAGGAGCGTATGCCTCTGAGACATGTAACAGTTTAGGCACAAGGACCCAGCTAGGCAGCAACTATTGGTTCAAGGCAATCTGCCAGTTGGCTGTCGCATGCCCAGCCTCAATCGCACTTTAAGCCGAGCGATTTGCATTTCAGCCATTTGCGGGGCTGCATCAGTTAACGCCTTCGAGTCTTAAACTGTCACTGCGTGTGTGCGTGTGTGTGTGTGTGTTGGTGTGTGGCACACATTTTGCATGGCGATTACGAATAAGGTCTGCTGAAAGCCCGCGAGCGCTGAACTCGACACCACACACACACACAGACGCAGCTGCCTGATAGATATCCTTGATATCCCTATGCAAACAAGCTCTCACTCAATGGCTCGACGATGTCGTCCAAGTCCAAGTCGTGCTGCTCAATGCTATCATCGGTGCCTGCTCGGTAGCCAGGACAAGGCCAGCTTTTATGCTCAACTGCCCCTGGGCCGGGGCCTGATGTCTTTTCTAATTGCAGCATGAAAGTTGTACGCTTGAAGGACTTCCCAGTTTTTATTGGGTATGCCACGCATCATATATTACAGCATGGGCCAAGTCTAGCAGCAAGAAGCACTTACCTGACAGGGCGCCTGGAACAGATAGGCATCACCGAATGCGGTGCTCAAACAGAATATGTAATCGCGCTTGGGATGCTCCGGTATTGGCTGCATAATTGCTCCGTCCACAATAATTAAATGCTTGGGCGCTGCCTCAACGCTGCGACCCTCACGCGAATCGCACGGATAGAACAGGAGAGTGGTGCCCTTTAGGCACACCCAATAGCCCTTCCAGCCACGTTTGCGAGCCAGCTCGATTTGATGCTTCTTGCGTAATAACCATTTCTTTACCGATAGAAAGCTGTAAATAAAGAAATGTAATCAAATTGAGTTGTTAAATAAGCACAGCTTATAAATTTCAAGTGTAGGAAACAAATTTGTAGACAGCTGGTAAATACCATTGGCAGCAGCATGAACAGTATTCCCTCAGAGGATTCCAGAAAATTAAATAGACATGACTTGGCAAATCGATACAATCAATTATAAAAAGCGAGCTGATTAAGCAGGCTGCTTTCTAGAAGCCGTTGCGAATTATAAAATAAATGTGCTTTGAATTGGCATAACAATCGCGTTTATATCCCTAAGTTTGAAGAATATCTGAGACGTGGAGAATTATAAAGAATATTCGGAAAAAGCTGCCCAAAGAGTTGGGTATTTTGCTGATTTTATGTGCTGCTCGCTTTTACTAGTTGAGAATTATAAATTTACAATGACTAGTTCTTTCCTCTTAATTAAAAAAGAGGTAATAATTGACATGGGGAAATTCTCGACAGAGTATCTTTAGCTAGGATAATGAGTGTTCACAAATTCAAGGCTAACGACTTTATAAATTACTGAGGTTGCTAAAGAAGTGGACTAGATTACGTTATAAAAAACGCGATTTCAGTGAATTTTTGTGCAAAAGGATTCATTTAACGTAATAGGTAAGATAGTTAAGGTTCATTAGCTAATAGGTAACACAAAACGTGCATGCTTTGTGGCCGCAAAGAGCGCGCAGCTCTTATTACAGTCAAGAACTTTTCTCAGTTTGCCTTTTTGAGAGTCTCTACGGCATTGCAGCTGCGAGCAGCGCACACTTCATCACAGCGCTGATAGCAGAGTGTGCTATGCGCTTGGCCGTAATCGCTGTAAATGATATGGCAAGCGCCAGGCCATTTGCTACTTTATTTATGATTAGCTGCTCGGGCTGGCAGAATGTTTGGGGCACACGTGCCCATGCTACCCAGCTGGCAGCAGCAGCAGGCGGCCATGCCTGAGGGAATACCATTTCGTGCCACTGATTACAGCTAGTTGGGGCTTGGTATTAACTTACCCAGCTTTACGCACAGCGCCCGTGCAGTTGAAGGAGGATGCAGCGGTGCCAGTGGCTTTTGCTTTATATGGTGACGCCATGACACTTTCGCCATCATCTTCATCCGAAACGGCAGTAGTTAGGCTCATTCGATCATCGTCCGAGATCTGCAAAAATGCATTAAGGGAAAGCGTGTAAGTAAGGAGGAAATAGCAAACAGATATATGTACTACACTTGCTGCTGTTGTTGTGATTGTTGATGCTGGCAACGATAAAAATTCAATAAGTCTGCGAGGTAATAATTGAAATAATTAAGTCATAATTAGCAGTGCCAGTCAGAGGCAGGCTCCACAACCAACGACAACGACAACAACAACCACACACGCACATACACACACCCAGCCATACACAACTCAACCCGATACGAATCGCAATGAGTCGAATCGACCCCGTAAGCCATTTGAAACCAATAATGGTTGACTGGCTCCTTGTTGTTGTCGTTGTCGTTGTTCGTATTGCTGTTGCTGTTGTTGCTGTTGCCGTTGTCACTGCCGACAGCAACATTTGTTACGTATGTCGTCGATAAAGCAATTTGTCTTCTCTCGCCTGCATTTTTAGTGAAGTTGGCAACATGGGAGCAGAATTGACTGCCGGGACGGCTCGAGAGGGCGACGGATGGACAACAATTGACAATAACAAAAAGAAAGAAAAAAAAGGCTCAGAAAACGAATCGAAACAAAATAACAGCAGCAGCTGGAAGTGGAGGAGATGTGACAGTAGAAAATAAAGGCAATGCCAAACAGTTTCTTGGCCATGTTATCGAGGCGAGCTGGCTAGCGAGCATTTCATCAAAAGCCGGGTCGAGTGCGACAGCTCTGCTCTGCTCTGCTCAGCTCTGTTCTGGGCTGTGCTGTGCTGCCTTGGACCATCCTGCGACTTCCTTCCGTTCTCACCACACACAGAGCCCAGTGCGCCAATTTTGCTTTTGCAACAGGAAAGAGAGAGGAAGGAAGAGAGAGAGAGAGAGGGGTTGCAGAGAGGGGGTTTGCTGGTAGCTCGTCCGTGTGGGAATCAAGTTGAGGCAACACGGCGCTGCCAATGCTGAGGCTGTGGTACCGCGCGCACGCTACGTGTCCCGCGTGGCAATAAAAATTGGTTTGCCCATTCATTCGTTTCAATTGGATGGGGTGCTCTGGTAGCCCCAGCTACCAGCCACGCCCACAATGTCGCTCACTTGCTGTTCATGCCATTTTTATTTGAGTTCCCAAGGAAATCAATTTACAATGTGTTTATTCGTTTCGTCTTCGCTTCCTGCTGGCTCTGGATGGGTCGGCACGGGACGGGACGGGACGGGACGGACGCCAGCCAGCGACAGACCCATCGATTCCTCGGCCCCATTTCTTGGCTTTGGTTACTGCGATACACAGCGTGCCGCCCTAACCACCAACACCAGCTCCACCAGCCCATACCATCCATATATGTCCGCCCGCCTCTTTTACGTTTTTGGCAATTTTCAAACATTTTTGCTCATATGCATGTTTTACAAGTTATTTATTTGACTGCCCGGCGCGTCGGCTGGGGGGCGGCAAATGGGCAACTGTCAAGTGGCAAGCGCGCTTATGTTTGCACAGTAGCCACGCCCCAATCCTCAGGAGCAGTCGTTCGCCCTTTCTGCAGGCAAAGTCATGTGTGCTTAACCCACAAGTGATGTCGCCCTCATATCGTCGTTTGTCGTTGGCCAAGTTTAATCAAATTTTATATTAATCGAAGGAGTGCAAAGGCATGCAAATACCCAAACGTGAGCTGGCTGAGTGACTGCCGCTTCCGCTCCGGCAACATAAATATTTTCCGAGTCGAAATTGCCAAAAAAAATAATAAAAAGGGAAACCCAACGGCAGCACATCAAAGCGGTACCACACTGTGGCAAGGGGTTTCATGGTGGGCGGAGGGCGCAGGGCAATTCCATTGAATCGTGTTAAGGTGCAAAGCTTGTAGCTCTGATTAATTGGGAATGGTATAGAATAGGGCAGGGCAAGCGGAGAAGCCATTAAAAGCTTCAGCAAGCATTGTGCAGTTTATTTTTTGTTAGAGCAGTATATTTTTAAGGAATTTTCCAACACTGAATGCATATTGTAAGCTTCCTTATAAATTCTTTGCACTTAATTACCACTCAACCAGGACCTTTCCTTGAATAGGTCAGTTTAATATATTTTCCTCTTCATATTTTGAACACCTTTGACACACTCTGCCTTCCTTGTTTCGATTTAATTACCTTTTTTTTAACATTTTCATGTACTTTGAATAACCGTCACAGCTTTTTTAATTAACTATCCCAATAAAATTTTGCTTTCAATTTATTTTCAAATATGTTTTGATCTTGTGTAATTTTTTACAAAATTAATGTACAACATTTTCATAACAGAGCTTCAATTTTAAATAGCCAGCGAGTGGCCGCAATCATATTCGGGACAGCTTCAATATTGAAAACTTCAAAAACACTCAAAAAGCACTCTCACCCACTTATCAGTAGCCGCCCGCACCACTGCGATGCCCCGCCGTTGCCCCAAAGTACACCTGACAACATTTATAGCGCCAAATGAAATAGTTTCCGCTTGCTCAATGAAGTTTTCCATGAAATCATCAAGCCGAACGGAAGCTGTCGAGCGGAACTGTTCCAAGCAAGCGGCAGCAACTCTGCCAGCAGCTATGGCAACCCTGGCAACGAGGTGTGCTACACAAATACATAAGCAGTACGAACTTTTCGCAACGAAATTAAAGACAATAAGCAAAGGGGCCAAAAATACATTTTGCCGAGTTGCCGCTAAGATACGCATGTATCTGTATCTGTAAATATGTATCTATATATATATATATATAGTATACCAAAATAGAACTTTGTAAAACTAAAAGTCACTTCATCAGTTGTTGCCGTGCACAACAACAAAACACTCGGAACAATCGACGCTAATGTAATGGAAAACCCTTTAGAAAGCTGCCCTGAGTGGCTAGCAAAAAGGACACAACTCGCAAAATTAACGAGTTTTTTACCTTTTACAACAGATTACTGTGCATCTACAATTGTGTATTATGTATGTGTAGGTGTGTGTGTGTGGGTGGCTGGCCAAAAACGAGAGCCGAGCCGAACCGTAACCAAGACTGCGCAAATGGCAGCATCAAATCTCAACGTCGACTGATTGGCCCCGTCGCCTGGTTACAATTTGTGCAGGACCCAAAGAGTTTGTCAAATGATTCATGAATTTTTAATTGATATGACCCGGCCTGGACAAGGTATGTATGGGCCCCATTCCATAGCTAAAACGTTGTCGAATTTCATCAGCAGCTTGGGACAGACTGCCTGACAATGGGTCTGTTGTTGTGTCTGTGGGCTAACTCACATGGGTAAGCCTAAATGGGCAGCCCTAAACACGCGCGCACACAAACAAACACACACACACAAAAGATTAAATGCCTATAGTCCTGGGCTGTGACAACTCTCCCTCCCCCAGCCTCTTCTCATCTGATTACTTGGGCCTAATATGCCATATCTCAGCATCGGTGCAAAATCAAAATTCAATTTACGCACAGAATCAAATACACACGCACGCACTCTGGCGCCCAGACACGCCCACTTAGGCGGCACACCCTCGTCGTGGCCCGGACAGGTGAGCTGCCGCGTGGCAGCGCCCCTGATGTCGGCGCTGCGTTTTCTAATCAAGAATTGATTGTGATCCCTCGATGCGGCTGTCGTTCACGTTTCATCCATAATTATCAATGACTTTTGAATGTCAAATGTGAGAGTTGCCTGCCAGTGGCACCTACACACACACACACACACACACACACGCTCACTCACACTCCCTTCTCCGGCAAAAAAGAAAAGAGGAAAAATCATTTCATTTGTCGCTGTCGCTGTCAAAAATTACAATATTTGATAGAGTGTTTATATGCAGGACGCTGTTGTTGTTGTTGCTGTTGCCAATGTCGGTTGTCAGTTGTCGGTTGTCCTTGCCGAATCGCGCGCGCGCTGCCAAGCATTCAAATCTCACACATTCGCACAATTTCACATATGTAAGCAAACATTTGCTTACGTTGTGGGGTTTGCCAACCGCTGTCAGCGAAATGGAAGAAAAAAAAGAACTGCAAATTCGTGGCACGTTTGTCGTTGCGCAGCTCTTAAGTGAGGCATTAAACTGAAGTCCTGTTGCCCAGAAATTGATTCAGTATGGAAAATCTGCAGCGCCTTGCAAGTCTTTGCCAGCCCCAGCTCAACCCCTGGTATTTATTTTTTTGGCAACATCTTAGTGGCAAATGGAGCTGTCTCAGCAGCATTCAAATCTCTGTGCAACGCGAGCTAAGCGAAAGCAATTTGGCATTAGCTGTAAGACGGATTTTGGCAATGATTAAAACGGAAATATTGTCGCTGGGCAGCCAGCGGGGAGCGGGGAGCGGTGCCCGGGGCCCAACCAGGGGTTAAACGCACAGGTATGTGTCATGACATTCCCATTTGATTAAATGTGTGCACTGAGCGTTGCTTAGCATTAATTGGTTTGTGCAGCGATGGGGTTGTGGCAGCAGATCAATCAAAACTAAGAAGGGTTTTAGATGGGTTAACTGAGCCAATTGCGTGCAGAGCTGAAGACGGAGCAATGCCTGCGAGAATTTCTTTTTTAGCCATAAGACTCAAGCCAGCCGGTTCAAACCCGGAATTCCAATTTATTTGTAATTGGGCCGAACCTTAAACTAATGCGATTCCCAAACTGAATCATATTTAGTGCAAAGCGCACATAATAATGAAAACCTCAATTGTTTCATTTAAATTTGGACAACATTCGACCAACAATACGATCTTGAACCAAATTCTGGATAAGGACATGCGGAGAACCAGCTTCACGAACCGAAACTGAAGGCTTGCCGCGTCGTTGAAACCGTATAAAAATACTCTTTATCGTTTGCCTTAACCTATCGACCCTTCTTTTCATTTTCTTCACTCTTTAAAACCTTCAGATTCCCTTTTTTGCAACCTACTGAATTGATCCACAAACATAAGCTCGCAAACAAATTTACATTGAACTACATTCAATTGGAACTCAAGAGATGTAGCATGAATGAATTTAACCTTAGCTTCAATGCATTTACTGGAGCAGAGTCAGCTTTTATATCATGATTCAATATGTTCTGTTTATATGGCAATTAATTAATATGCAGCGCGTTTGGCTAGCTATCAGTTATTCAACTAATGCCCCATTCAAATTCAGCCATTCAGCCATACTTACACACATGGACAGCTCGATGTGTATCTGGGTCCAAGTTGAATGCAGTTGCAGAGGTTGCTCTCCCTTGGCCAATTCGACTGAATTTGAATACCCTAAGCACATTGCAAACAGGCAAATTGGGTATTCTAAACTACATACAAATGTATGTAACAGACTGAAGGAGAACCAGTTTATCATTTGTCTTCGTTAAATTTAGCCCATTAGATGCGCCAGACGATTCTCGTATAGTATTTCTTTACTTCTTGCATATTGAGGGTATCCCCTAGCCGGGCACCAAATGAGCTACACGATTGAAAATGGTTGCATAGTTGCTATAGATACAAGTAACCAGTTGCTAGATACAAGATACAAGTGCTTTACGGCTGCACTGTTGATGCGCATGAATGCGGCACTCATGGACGATGCCACGCCCATTGGGCAAGTCCACAAAGTACATACATATGCTGCAAATAGCCTTTATCACTTTGCCACTGTGATTCATGTGAATTCCAATCAATGCCATTCATTATCCAAAAACTAAATACGAACAGTAAATGAAAATCCCCCTCGCATCAGCGCGCCACATCCCTCTTCCACCCCCCTTCCACCCTCACAATCATCCACTTGTTCGCCTGGTGCGTGCGTGTGTGCTCTGTTAAGAGCTTTTTCGGCTGGGGCTAATGCTTTAATTTATTGCCAGCCTCCTTTGTGAGCACACAGGCAGGCAGGGACCAGGGCCGGGGCCGGAGACGTTGCCGGAGCTGCCTTGCAGGAGCTCGAGCGTGAAAAGGATGCTTTTGGCTTTGATCAACGTTTTGTTAGGCAACCAAAATGAATTTGTAGCAGACAGACAAACGGACAACAGACGCAACGTTGCGACAATATATTTAAGTCATTTGGTGTTGGCGACAAAGAGCCAAGAGCCACGGGGCGGGGCAGGTCCGGGAACGGGGACGGGTTCGACAACACTCTTTGTGGCAGGATTTTCAAGCAAAGCTCAAAATTAAAGCAAACGGCAACAAATTTTGATCGATTTTAAAATTGTTAAAAAATTTACTTTACAATTAAACTTGTGGGTCTTAACAAAAATACAATAAATAATATGTAATAAATAAGGGCATGCCTGCAATACAAGTGTGACCAAATGCTATAAATAAAAATATTGATAACGACTTGCATTTGTCAGTCATATAATAAGGAATACCCCTAATGGGAGGTAAAGGATAGCCTCTGAAGGCTAGAACAAAGGCAAGCATGGCTGGCAAATGCACAAACTGGTTTGGTCACACTTTGATTAAAGCGCAAATGCCATTAATTTAAATTAAGTTTTTACCATTCAGGAACACCCCAAATATGTATGGAATTTATGAGTTATTGAAAGGTTAAAGCCAAAAATGGGATCTTATATACATATTTGAAAAATCGAACCCATTTATGCGGGAATACCATAAGTAGGTAAGGTATAGGCAATACTTTCAGCTCGCGGGCAAGCTGTTACTTAAAATGTTTTTGGTAAAAACATTTGCTATAAAAAAGATTATAGATATATATTTAAATCAGACATTTTTGCATTTTTAATGCAGAAATACCTTAAATAATTTATGATATGTTAATTTAGAATAGTACTTATCAGGTTTTCACACGATGTTTTTTGTTTACCTTGCGAAGGAACATTTCGTTGCACTGCTTGGCGGTGCTGCGCCAGTGCCGATGGCGATACCGTGAGTTGCCCAGCTTGAGGGTGCCCTGGAGATCGGCTGCCTCCTCGACGACACGCCTGATGCACTGATAGCGCAGCCGATTGCAACGGTGTATGGGCTGGAGAGCGACGAGGCCGTGTTCCGGTTCCGATTCGGCGCCGGAACGCACCTGATCCTCATCGTCGTCCACCCAGGCGCTAAGCACACCCTCCACAAAATTGTAGAGCATCTGTATGTTGGCCTTCATGGGCGCCGAGCCCGATGGCACCTGCTCCGTCTTGATGAGCTTACGATTCTGGCACACCTCACGCAACAGATTCTCGCCAAAGTGCACGGTCTTGTGGCGCCGTCGACGCGAGTTTAACGATGCAGCCGATGCGGACTTCATCAGTTTGCCATTCCCATTGAGCACATGATGCATATGGCCGTTCGAGGGCTGCTGCACTGGCTCCAGCCAGCCGAGATTTGTGGCCAGGCCGCAGCTGGAGGCGGTCGAATCGCCGCGCTGCAACGTATTCGGCTGCGAATTGCTGCGATAATGTTGCATGTGGCGTGTGGGCGAGGCAGGCGGCAGCAACGGCAACGGCTGCTGTTCCAGTTCAAGCGGCGCCGGCTCAATGTCATCAAGTGTCGCCGGCGGCTGGGCGAGTGAAGTGCGCAACCGATTGAAATCGGCGGCACAGCGAGGCAGTGAGTTGCACTTGGCGGCATTGAGGCATTTGCGATTCTGGCAGCTGAGCAGCGGCGCGCACGACCGACACTCGTGGCAGATGACCAGACGGCGCTCCGGTATTGGTGCCACAACAGCTGCTGGCGTTAGTGGTTGTAGTTGTTGTTGTTGTTGTTGTGGTGGTGGCGTGGCCGTTGTCGAAGGCGTTGTCGCATCGGAGCCGCCCATCAAATGTGCGGGCACCGCATGCAGCTGCACTTGGGCCAGTTGCTGGTGCCGCGCCAGATTCACCGAGCTGGCCGAGGTCGTGAGACAGCGTCGCCGCTGGCATTCCTGGTAGCGGCAGTGCGGATCTGTGCAGATGGGCAGCAGCGGGCAGGCGGGATCTGTGCAGGGCGACGGCGAACGGGAGCGGGGCGCACGCTCCGCACTCGAGGATTTGCGCTTGTGACTGCCGCTGGAACGCTGAGCGGACATGTCCGTCACGGTCGCGGAACGCTGCGTCTGATGGCGACGCGAACGCTCGCGCTTGGACTTGCCGGAGCTGCTGGTGTGGGTGCTGATGTGGGTGGTGATGGTTTCCTTGGGCGGCGTTACCTTGGGCACATACTGATAGCGTTCCTTGTGCGGCTTGGCATAGAGACGCTCCAGTCGATCCAGGTGTGCGCTTGTACTGGACGCCGGCGCTCCGCTGCTGACCACCTCGCTGGCCGAGTGGCGCAGTCGACGCTCCCGGGAGCGCTCCTCGCGTCGCCGCTGCTCCTGGCACAGCTGCGTGTGTGTGGCAGCCACAGGCACATCATAGCCGCTGGGCACGGTCGTCGCCAATGGCGGCGGCTGTTTGCCCAGCGACTGCAGCTTGTTCAGCGGATACGCAATCCAGTCCAGCGTTGGCAGCTGTTGTTGCTGCCGCTGCTGCTGCTGCAGCTGCTCCTCATCGCTGTGGCCCAGCGAGTGGCGTTTGCGCTGCAGCGCCGCATGTTCCGTGGCCGCGTGATCCTCCTGCGAGTTGGAGCGCGGCGCAGCGCCGCTGCTGCCGTTGCGGCGATGATGCGAGCGACGGGACGCCTTGCTGCCAGCTGTCGACTGCATCTTGGTCAGCCATTCGACTATGTCCGTCTTCAGCAGCGACACTTCGCAGGGTCCGGAGCTCTGGCGGGAGAGTGGCTTCTTGAGCAGCTCGGCCAATGCCTTGGCATACGCGGAGCTGACGGGCTTCTCCGTCGTCGACTGGCGTTCGCGCTGATGCGGCAAATGCTCCAGCAGCCAATCGGGCAGCTCATCCTTGAGCACGGTGATTTCACTGGGGCCAGAGGAGGTGCGCGCGGGCGCCTGCTGTTGGACGGCACTGCTCTTCTGCAGCTTTAGCCATTCCATGGTCTCCTCGCGCACCTGCCCACCCTCGGCGGAGCGTGCGGAATGACGCTGCTGTGCCTTGCGATCGAACCACTCCAGCTGCTGCTCGGGCACCGCCTGGCGCAGCGCACTCTTTGGCATTGTCACCTCCTCGGCGCTCTTTTGGCGACGCGGCGGCAGCTGCGGCTTTTGGTCGGGCAGACGCACATAGTGCGGCTCGGTGAGGCGAACGGAGCCCTTGCGCCGGATGCAACGCTGCTCCATGGTGTCCTCATCGCGTGCGCGCACGCGTCGGGTTATCTCAAAGATGTCGCCGTTGATTTGGTGATAGAACTTTTCCACCTCCACGCCCCTTTCGAATTCCTCACGTACGCTGTGCGGCTTGCTGGCGCCATGACGCACCGGTGGGCGTGGCGGTGGCGCCTCCTCCAACTGCTGCTGCTGCTGTTTCTTTTGCTGCTTATCCTCGCTGGTCTCATCGGAACTGGGAATACCACCGACGCCGGCGCCGCTATCAGCGACCCAACTTATGCAACGTTCACCGCTCGACTGCTGCTTCGGTGGCAGCTGCTGTTGTTGTTGCTGTTGTGGTTGCTGTTGTGGTTGCTGTTGTGGTTGCTGTTGTGGCTGCTGCTGTTGTTGTTGTTGTTGTTGCTGTTGCTGGAGCAGGCGATCCAGCGAGCCGTGATGCGTTGTCGTAAGCGCGGCACCCTCGCCGAGCGACTGCAGCCGGCACTGGGCATTGCAGATGCAGACGCCGGTGCGTTTCTTGCTGCCAAAGCGAAACAATTGACTCGCCAGCTGGGAGACATTTTCACCGAGGCCCAAGCCGCTGCTGCCGCCGCTGCCGGCGCCGGCGCCAGCGCCAGCCCCCGCATCCCTTCCCGAGGCCGTTGTTGCTGATGTCAAACGTGCCACCGGATGTGAGACGGGTGTAATGTCGACGATCACGCAACAGCAGTGTAGCGAGAAGGTTTTCTTGGGATCTGGGGCAACGCTGCTGCTGGTGCTGTTGCTGCCGCCGCCGTCGTTGTTGGCAGCGTGCTGTTTATTCTGGTTGTTGCTGCTGCTGCTGTTGTTGCTGTTCTGGCAGTTGCTGGCGGTGGCGGCAACGCCGACGCCAACGTTGCTGCTGGCGCCGACTTCGTGGGCGGTGTTGCTTTTGCTGTTGTTGTTATTTGGTTCGCTTGGTTGGCGCTGTTCGTTGTTTGTCTGATGTTGTTGTTGTTTTTGTTGTTGTTGAAGTTGTTGTATTGGGGCGGCCAGAATGAATTACGGCAACGGCGGCAACAACAACAACAACAGCAGCAGCAGCAGCGTTGGCAGCTTTGGCAGCTATGGCTATATCCTAAATTCTTGGGCGTGGCTAACTTGTTCCTGTTGCACTGAGGCGTTGTTGCGTTTGTTGTAGTTGTTGCTGTTGTTGTTGTTGCAGTTGCAAATGCGTTTTTGTTGATGAATGTGGCTATGTTTATTGCGCTTGTTGTTGTTGTTGTTGCTGTTGTGGCTGTTGTTGTTGTTGCTGCTGCCATGCATATGGCTTCACAGCTAACGCATACACACAAATCGACGCACGCACACGCACGTGCTGTACATGTATGCGTGTGTGTGAGTGTGTGCGTGTGTGTGTTATTTATTTGGCGATTAATTAAACTAAAAGCTCATTTATATAATGCAGTCATTTATTAAACAGTTGTTGGTTTTTTTTTTGGAAATTTATTTATTTATCTATGTGTGTGGGGTGTGTCGCACACACGTCGCACACATTTATCTATAATTAATTATTTTTACTTGTTGCGAAACGCTGAATGGCACCACAAAAAATTCGCTAAATTATACGAGTACTGAACACATTCGTTTTCGGTTTCGGTTTTATTTTTGTTGCTCTTTTATTTATTTGATAAACTGTTTATCTGTGCGTTGTTGCGTGCGTAGTTTCATTTGTTGTTGTTGTTGCTGCTTTTTTGGCATTTATTTACAATTAATTTAATTATGCTTGCGCTTTAAATAGCTGTCCGCTTTTGCTGTTGTTGCTTTTGTTGTTTTGCTCGCTTGCTGATTTCATTAATTTTATTTATTTATTGTATTTTTTTTTGCATGTTCGTTTGTTGCTTTTGTTAATTTGGTATAATAACTTAATTGCTGCAATTATTGAAATTAAGCATTTAAATGCCTGGCAACATTTTCTGTTGCCTGCTTCACGGCGCACCGTTTCTTTTTTTAGTCTACTTTCAGTTGCCTACTTTTTAGCTGAGCGGCAGCCTTCAAGCTTTGCGCCTTTTCAGCTTCATATTTCAGGGTTAGGCTTTTGTGTGCATTTCAGTTTATACACATATATTATAATATATAAATATATATATTTTTTTAGGCACAAGGACACACACATTAGTATGTATGTGTAACTGTGTGTAGCTGTGTCTGCTGCCTTTAATTAGCATATAAAAAGGCGAGCCGCCCGAAAAAAAAAACCGTGTTGCATGCTTTGCAAGTTTTTAAATTTCAACTTGCATCTGCCCCAAAAATAAAAATAAAACATTTTTTTGTTTATATTCATATTCATATTTTGCTCTTGTGTTATTTTAAAGTTTTGCAACAACGGCGCAAAGGGGCGCGGCACCAAAAAAAGTTTTTGCACAACTCTTCTTGGTGCGCAAATATTTTGTTTGTTATATTGCTAGCATAAATTTGCTGGCTATCTGCACACACCAACGTACACGCACACGCACAGGCACACACACGCACAGAGAGTGGGAGGGGCTGCTGTTAGAGCAAGATGCGCATATATTTATAAGCGCATACATAAATACTTTTCTGGCCTGGCTGGCGAATGCATAAATTTTCCCAACGTCATGTATGTGCGAGGCACCAAGTCACATCCTGTGGCCCACGCCCCGCTCTTGACTTGTGTTTATGCAAAGCACAACATAGCTGTTGAAAAAGCAGCTGAAGCAGGAGCAGCAGCAGCAGCAGCAGCAGCAACAGCAGTAGCAGTAGCTGTAGAAATGCGCAAAGTTTTTCGGTCTGTTGCCAAAAGTTTGCTTGTTAAGTGAAAGGATTATATGATCCAGTATATTTCTTGTTGTTATTTTTTTTTTTGTTTTTTTTTTGTTTTTCGTGTTTTGTTGTAAAACTTGAAAAAATAAGTTTTCGTATTTTTATGTTATGCCAGTTTGTTGTTACTATTGCAGCAGCCCCAGGGAAAATCATGAGAGCAACGCCTCGAGCAGTGTTGATAGTTTTTATAGCCTACTTCTTTTTTGGAGGGGAAGTTGCACTGGAAAAACAAAACACAAACAAGAAGAAGATGCTGCTGCGAGCTGCGAGTCGTGAATTAGTGCGTCTTAGTTGCTTTCTATTTTATTTTGTTGTTGGGGTGTGCGGCTTACGCGCGTGCAAAAACACACAGACACACACGCACGCACACAGACATAATAAACTTTTGGCCAGCTTGTAGCCGTTAGATGCGAGTTGTCGATAAGTTTAAGTTGCCATGTGTTTAGTTAAGATCTCCCCGTTCCCTCATGCAGCACACGTGTGCTGTGTCTCTGTGTGTATATGTGGGTGTGTGTGTGTGTGGCAAGCTCAACTAGTTGGCAACTGTGCTTGGTTGGGTGTAGGCCCCAAAGATGCTCGAGCGCATTTGTTTAGCAATTTTATCTTGATTCGCACAATAAAGTTAATTCCTGCGCTCAAAGTTTTAGTTGTTTCTAACCCGCTCCAAGCTTTAAATGACATTATTATAGCTATGAGTGTCTGTGCTTGTATCTAGGCAACTGTAATAAATTATTTCGATTGTTTTAGACACACAAAAAGTTTTGGCAGTTATCTTGGCGTATATTTGGCAATAGGCAATAAGCGAGAGTTGGGCGAGAGTTTGGGCACGGAGGTTTTTAAAATTGAATTATAAAATTAAGCAGCGGCTACGCAGATAAGCAGCTCTATAAAGATGCTGGATTAGCCTAAAGGGTAGCTGTTGCCTAAAGTTGTTTATATTTTGCTCTGTTAACCAACTTTTTGAGCTCAAAGTTTTATCTATTAGAAGTTGTTCTTACTAGAAGATATATGAGAATTAAATTGCTTGCTCTTTAAACGATGCTTTGAAGTTGAGGAACAACCAATTCTTTTTAAATACTATTCCTGGAATATGCTCCTGCTCCTACTGGTGTACCTAATTTCAGCGTTAGCTTAATGTCTTACTTGTGCTATTCTCTATCTTTTGTCTTTTTAGCGTGGAATTCATAAAGTTTTTGGCTTTAAGCTACATTCTAACAAGTGTTTGACAAACGCAGGAAAGTAGGCAACAGTTTTCTGCAGTCGCTCAAAATGATATGAAATGAGCTGGAAGAGTTTCTGTTCTGCGCTTGAAAGTGGGCAACGTTTTTTGTTCAGCATATTCCGAGTAGCAATATTGTCTAGAAAAACAGTTTTGTCGGGAGGAATTACTGATAGCGGCAATGGCTTCGTTTGCTCGTTAAGGCGCTGCGGCCATGAAGTTTGTTGCCTAGAAGCTGCTTGTTGCTATTGCGTTTGTTGCTGCTGTTGTTCTTGCTGTTGTTGTCGCCTAGCAATTTGAAATCAACGGACTGGCTGGGACAAATAAATTAGATTTCCGCATAATTCGATGGGCAGCCACAGGCACTAATGAGAGCAGCAGCAGCAGCAGCAGCAATCGAGTGTCTACGCCTGGGCAACATGTGTCTGTGTGTGTGCGTGTGTGTGTCTGTGGGTGGTTGTTGCTGTGCATTTATTTTTAGTTAAATAAATTCTAATGAATTTATCAACATGTTTTTAATGCATTTAATGTCAGTCCACACCCAACCACACGCACACACAAACACACACACACACACATGTGAGGCACACACAGACGTGCATTCATAAATATAAATACGTTTAATGTTAGTAAAAACAACTGTCAAGCACAAGCAGCACAAATATGCCACACTAAATGTCGCTAGCTCTCGCTCTGACTGCCGTTTAGCCAACTGTTTCACTCGCTTTGTCTCGTTCACTATGTGTGTGTGTGTGTGTGTGTGTGCTTTGGCTGGCATGACGTTGATAATATCCTTGCACATGTATGACGTTGCTGGCTGGTTATCCTTGCAGCTGCTGCTATTGCTTTTGCTACTGCTGCTGTCGTTACTGGCAACGGCAAAGGCAACAGCAGGCGCTGCCTTTTCATTGTGCCACAAAAATTGTTGTTGTTGTTGTTGTTGCTGCTGTTGTTTCTGCGCCCATTTGCTTGTTGATATGTATTTTATTAGCCAGTCAGGGCAAGCAAAAACTTTTTGTGCGTTGGCGTTTTAAATTTTCGCTGCGCGTGCTAAAAATATAGGCAAACAGCAACAGCAACAACAACAACAACAAGTACAACAGCTGCCTGGCTGGCTGTTAGCCTGGCCAACAAAACAAGCGTCAACTAAAATATACGAATTCAACGGAACGTAGCCTAGACTCAAAAACTCAAGTCTCGAGTATTTTGCTTTTTGTGTTTTATATTTTGTTTCTTTCTTTCTGCCTGTCTCTCTTTTGTGCACGCTGTTAAATGCCTCTGTTTGTTGTTGTTGTTATTGTTGTTGTTAGTATGTGTGTTAAGTGCGTTGGTATTTGCGTGTTTTCTTTTCTTTTTGCCATTGCCCCGCACTGCTGCACAGCTGTGGTATTTTTCAACACTTTTTACGTGCAACTTGTTATATTTTTTATTACTGTTGGTTTTTGGTTTTGTTTTTTTTTTTTTGGAAAACTTTGCACTTGTTAATTTGGTTTTAATGGCGATTGGCCGAACAATTTC